GGCTAGTGGACCGCCATGGCAGGGGCGGCGCCTCAGGGGAAGCCGGGGTGTCTTTTCCCGCGCCCGCTGAGGGGCGACGGCCGCCCCGCGAGGGGAAGGGAAGGGGTGACCTCAAATGCCAGACTCGCCGGAGCGTGCTTGTACTTTTTGTGCCTTCTGGGGTTGCGGCGGGCGGGCATTAAAAAGTTGAGCCACTTTCGTTACTGACGGAGTTCGCTGGCTTGGACCTCAGGGGGGGAACGCGTCCCCCGTGTGTAAGGGTGCATCACCGGTACCGGACAGCTGAGCCAAAGCACGTCTGAGCGGCTATAAAATCCCGGGCAGCATGAGAAAATACTTAGTATTTTTGAGACAAATACTTTCTTTTTGAGTCTTTTGGTCTGCTTTAGGTGTAGTTCTCTGATGCGCTAGCCAGCGATTAGGCAATCTTAAAGTTCAACAGCACTTCTCTGGCCACTTAATCCCGAAGTGCTCGCTCTTTTTTTATGCAAATACTGAATATTTTTGGCAGATCTTGGCACTAAAACGAAGATTATTCCTCCTTAATGCGGCTGCTATATTTTTTGCACAATGTTTGCCGCTTTTCCTGTAGTCACCAGAGTGTTTGACGTATAATTTGTTTGCTTAGCTTTAAATAACAAAAATAGCGTGCGTACACTGCTGATTTATAGCCTATATCTCTTCTATCGCAAAAGCAGCTGCCGTAATAACCTCCTATGTAGCCTTGTGCTGCAGTGGTATTTATTTATTTGTTGTGTTAGTACCACGCTCTGGGCAGTTGAAAGAACAAATGGGCTTTTTTTAATCGGGAATAATGTTAGGGAGGTGAAGGGGAGGAGGGGGTGTGGGTGTAACTTGATACGAAAATGAGCAAACTCTTCTGTTTACTTGAAAGGCAGGGTTTGGAGAAAGCGAGCTTTGGTAGGCTGGGTGCGTTTGCCGAGGGAGGCTCCTGGAGCTGCAGGGACCTTTTCTGAAGGATCAGTAATTTGATCACATGCTTTTTCCTCCCTTTCTTGTCCGTGACCTGCTGCAGCTCGCTTTCTTACATGGGAACACGCTATGTGCCCCTGAGGCTATTTGGTGGCGATATTCTTGACTCACACAGAATAATCGCAAATTAAAGAATTCGATTTAACAGCTGTGAATAGGTAAGTGAATAGGTAAGCCAGGAAATCAGCGTAGTGTAGGAATGACACAAAAGTCAATTTATACTTGCATACACATGGAAAAAAGCAAAGTTAAAGCTGATTTCATTTAGCCATGTCTTTCATTTGCCCATTAAATAGATACTGGTGGAGCTGGGGTTTTCCCCCTTTGGTCGGATAGATGAAAATGTTGTCATCATAGTGGTTTGGGGTTGTTTAGAAAAGGTCTTTGGATATTCGATTAGTGTTCATCACCTGACATAGACACCAGGTTGGTGTATGGTTGACCAGAAACGTCAATCGCCATCCTTAGACCTCAACTGGAGAGGTCACTGAGCAACCCAAGCTAACTTGCAGGATGTCCCTGTGAAAGTCTCTCTTACCCTAAATCGTTTGCTGTTGATCCTCGGGGGTTAGAGTTGAGAAAGCTACTGTTTGTAGGGACCTGTGTAGGCACCCACCGTTGGCGGTGTGTTCAGTGGGGTTCTCGGGGCAGAGACCCTCATGTTCTGAGGATCTGCTGCAACTTCCAGGGCTTCTTCCAAATTAGAGAGGAAAAAAGTAAAAAAAGTAATTTGTGCCAAAAACAACAGTTGCAACACCAAAGTGAGAGGATATATGAGTCTCCGAGGTATCTGTGGGTATGCTAACACTTCATGAAATCCTTGACTAATGCTAATTTTTCAAATAAGCAGCTGCAGCAGTTCTCATGGGTTTATTTAAACATAGTTGGTTTAAACTGACCATGAATACAGCTAGGGTAGGGGAATTAAATGAAGGGTTCTGGCTATCAGACCAGAAAAATGCTGGAAGGAGATTATATGGCATGGTTGCTTATGCAAGTAGGGACTGAATGGTTCTGTGCTCTCTAGTGTTACTTCATCACAAATTAGAGGAGAGATGGCCCATAAGAAACTCAGTACTAGCATGTAGTGGTGATTTTCAGGCTTTTCTTCTGACATCACTGTCCTTTCTCCTGTCCTCTCCTTACATCCAAATATAGTCTTCAGTGTTATCTTCATTGCCATCTGAGATATACGCTATACGGTTTAAAAAATATTTTGCACCAAGGTTTAAGGAAGATCATGACGCGCCAGAAGTGATCTCAAACTGCAAATCCCTGAACAGAAGAGATTTCAATGTTACTAAAACCAGTATATATTAATGCATGGTTGATGCGTTAGGGAAGCTTTTAGGGATGCTGCCACTTTGTTAAACCCTGGCAGAACAAGAAGGACACACTCCACATCAGTGAAGAAATTCCTGGCTTACTGAGGTTGCCAGCTCTGTTGTCCTTTTACGGAATGCTGTTTCCTATAGAATCATAGAATCATAGAATCATTAAGGTTGGAAAAGGGCAGAGCATTTAAAGATGTTGCTAATGCTTCAGCATTTTAACTTCAGCATAGGAGAACTAGATGGTTCGGACAGTGTAATTTACATTCAAACATTTGTGCTTCAGAAGGCTAGAGGTAATTCTGTTGTCTCGATTTTTCAAATACCTAAAAGAAAATCACAATTCATCTGCTTCCATTGGAAATAAGTGCTTTTAGGAAGGATGTTTTCTTCCTGAGGCAGAGCTAAAGTACCTTACTGGGACTGAGCTCAGCTAAGCCAGCTGATTGCTTGTAGAGAAAGAAACCTGCCAATAGTCTTGGAAGTTTGCCCTAGAACAGGGGAAGATGTTTGGAGGTTGCACTTCAGTCCCGTTAGAAGAAAGGTAACTGTGCAGAGTCTTTCTTGAGTATACATCTGTGCCCATGGCAAAATGCTTTCTAAGTTCAGTATCCTATATTTGAATTCAGGGAAGTGATTGTCTGAATTCTAAGTGAGATGCTTTCTCTGGTACTTGCTCATTTGAAATCTCGTAGAAATCAGGGCTCTGCCTGAAGTGTATTTCATTCTCCTTGTTCGGTGTTAGAGGGTTTGAAGAGCCTGGCAACAGTCTGGCCCTTGTTCAGAGTCCTGCACTCTGTTGTTTTGCAGACTTTACATTGAACAGGAGTAGAACAAGCATGTCTGAGATAGTGAGTCTGCGCTCTCTTTTTTTTTTTTTTTTTTTTCCCTTTCTTTCTTTCATGAAGAATAACTAAAACACAAAAATATAGCCCGCTGAAAGGGTCAGAGCTAATAGTAATCCCAAAAAGTCCTGGCATCCAGTTCAGCTTTTAGGTCACACTTGACATTTGAAAACTGTCTTTTTATGCTAGTCTGGTATTATGATAATAGCTAAGGTAACTATTATCTTGTTTTTCTGTTGTAGTACAATAGGGTTTGGATCCCTGATAATGAAGAAGTTTGGCAGTCTGCAGAAATCACAAAAAACTACAAAGCTGGAGACCGTTTTCTCCACGTGCAATTAGAAGATGGAACTGTAAGAAAAGCCTTAATTATTGTGGGGTTTGCTGAGATACATTTATGTAGAAACATAGGACTCACCATTACGGGATCTAAATGACTTGTCTATATTTTCTTTTATGCTAACCCTGCAGTGACCAGAATTTTATCATATTGAAATTTGTACAGTAAACAGCTGTTACCTAAAAGTATGATGAGTGTAATGCCACTCTCTGTATCACATTATTATAGAACAGATACCTCGACGAAGAAAGATCACTTCACTTTTGAAACAAGCACTGAAACTCATCTTAAGCTGATGTAAATCAGAAGTGCAAAACACGCATAATTATCTCTCACAGAGCTAGCTGTTGCTTTTTTCCCTAAAGTTGTTTCTTTATGTAAGATCTGTTAATTTTAGTATCTGAGTTCTTTACAGATTTAATATTTTGAAAACAGTATATCTGCATTTCTGTTCTGTAAAGACAAGTATTAAATGTATGATTAAATGGATTTGTTGAAAGAAACAGAAGAGTGTTTTAAATTTTGTATAAAGAAAACTGAAGGGTTGCAAGTAAGGATAGTTTTAGAGTTGACTTAAGTTCTGACCAGGTGTTTACTTTCATTCAGTTGCAGCTGGTCTACAATTTTCATCTGTACTTGAAATATGCGTGTGTTTAGAAAGCTAAACGCATTCCTCATTTTTACAGTCTTCAATACAAAATATTGTAAATAAAGAGAATGTAGCTTTCTTTTTAATAAACAACAAGGGCCTCATCTTATTTTCATGATCTCCAAGTCCCCTAAGTTCAGTGAGATGTATGGAATTGATGAAATACAAGATCAGGCAGAGCTCCATCAACCCTGTAACTTTGTGTAAAGGTAGAACATCAATTTGTGTTTATGCAAACATAATGCATTTTATGATATTTCATGTCATTCTTGTTGACAGGAACTGCATTACCCTATTGATCCAGCTGTTTTGCCACCCCTACGAAATCCTGACATACTTGTTGGTGAAAATGATCTCACTGCACTTAGTTATCTCCATGAACCAGCTGTTCTACACAATCTTAAAGTTCGTTTTGTGGAGTCTAAGCTTATCTACACCTATAGTGGTAAGCAAAGTCAAATGCAAGGTTTAAAAAAAATTCTTAAATAATCTTGGGTTAGTTTGCAATAATTGTGAGTCATGTTTTCTAAGTGTATTTTAACTCATTCAAGTTTTTGTATGACTGTAGACTTGTTTGTTGATCAGGCTCTCCTACCTAGTTTAGAAAATACTGCAACTTTGTATCAGTTTAACTGTTGTTGCCAGTTTTCATTGAAGTAACCTATGTTTTATTTTTGTTTCGTATACTTGGTTGTAGGAATAATTTTGGTTGCAATAAACCCCTATAAACAGTTACCAATATATGGAGATGCTATTATCCATGCATATAGTGGCCAAAACATGGGGGACATGGATCCACATATATTTGCTGTGGCAGAAGAAGCATACAAGCAAATGGCAAGGTTCAGTATGTTGTTTAATGTCCATAAATAACACTTGAAGTCTTGTGGCAGTCAGTGTTAATTGTAATTTGATTTAACTGTGTATGTGCCACTGGCTATTAAGAATACCTTTGAGTATTCTCAATGGCATTGAGAACTTAACTAGAGGAGTAACTTAACTAGAGGAGTAACTTAACTAGAGGAGTAACTTAACTAGAGGAGGAGTAATTCCTTAACCAGCTGAGGAATTTCTAGAACTCATAACTCTTTTCATTCTAAATGAGGGGCAAAACACTGTCTTAGCCGAGTGAATAGCAATGACATCAGCGTAGAGGTTACAACCAAAGAGGAGTAAAAGAGAAGAACAGATGAAAAATGGACTTGATTCGAGAGTTGACCACAGTTGTGTTTTCATACACTTGTTTCATATATATAATTCTTACATTTATGCATGCATTTTAGACATGTCTGATTTAAACTGTCTGATTATTTGGTTTTAGAAATAACAAAAATCAGTCTATTATAGTCAGTGGAGAATCAGGAGCTGGAAAGACTGTGTCTGCAAGATACACTATGAGATACTTTGCCACTGTGAGTAAGTCAAGCAGCAATGTACATGTGGAGGATAAAGTACTGGCATCCAATCCAATAACCGAGGTAAGTTTCAGAGAGTATCTGTCAAGTCTGTACTCATCGAGGAGAGAATTCTGAGAGCTGCTGAGCATCTTTCCTTGAAACCTTTAGGGATGTTTTAGCTGCCTGAGTTAGGTATATAAATTAGAAGTTTAGCCTCTGAATGTTACCGATGGGAAGAGGCAGTCAGCTTCAGGAACACCCAGGTTCTGCCTAATTTACCAGTGGCCCTTTGGAGGCACTAGTTTGCCTCCAGAGTTTTATCTGACCGCATCCTGTTAATTAGATGGTGGGAAAACAATATTGAACAAGTTATTTGTTTGCTTTTATTAATCACAGTAGAAAATGGTTAAGGTTCCTTATGGTGGGAAAATGTAGTTTCTCTAATTCTCAGTTTATGTAGTGTTATACTGTTTGACTTGAGGCTTATTTTCAAATTTGGGCCTCAAAATTTAAATCTCACAGCTCAATGCTGAGGTTGATCCTTGAGCACTTGAGATTTCAGGAACTTGTAGTTGAATCATGTTTTGAGAAAGTTAATCTTATGAAAGATGCTAGTAAAACAAATTCTAAAAGTTTATCATTTTCATAGGCTGTTGGCAATGCAAAAACCACGCGGAACGACAATAGCAGTCGATTTGGAAAATACACTGAAATCAGTTTTGATCAGAGTTACCAAATCATTGGAGCTAACATGAGAACATACCTGCTTGAGAAATCCAGAGTTGTCTTTCAGGTGGGTAAAATAAAGTTAAACCAGTCAATGTCAGTATAGCTACTAATGTACTATACTTTACTAGTTTCATATAGAAAATGTTATGTGAAGTTCTGAATAGTACGTTTAATCAGCATTTGATTTATTTTTTTAATAGGAGCTAATCTTTTTTATAATATGAAACTAATTTATTCCATGTTCTTCCTTATGTTCAGTGGAGGATGTATCTCAGGGACAACTCCCTGAGATAAGTACAAGAAGTATTTGAGAAATCTGTGACTTTCAGTCACAATAGTAACACGTGCCAATTGTATCTGGACAGGAACAGCGTATATAGGGCAGAGGGAGTCTTGGTAAAAAAAATGGCTGAAAATTTATAAGGCCAGGGCTTATTCCATGTGATAATGTCAGAGCATAATTGTGATAATCTACTAAAGAAAGCATTTAATTTTATAAAACTGTTTTTATGAAGTTTTGCTTTTTAGCAGTATTGTAAGTACTTTTTAAGTACTATGAAAAATACTTCTATATATCTGCTGCTTGAAGGATGGTTTGGAAATAGAGAGTTTTCTGAGTTACCATAGGGCAGCATTTCAGCTGACACTCCTACACAGTTGTTCATTACAGTATTTGTCAGTTCTTATTAGTAGATGGTCATTCAGGCTGAAGAAATTGTTAGAGTAACAGCCTTGGGGAAAGAACTCAGCATATCGGTAATGGAAATAAAGTATACTTGAATTTATCCCTTTCAAAGCTCTTGTTGAAATCTAAGATGTGCCATTTTAATATTGGGCAATTTCTTTGCCAAACTATGTTGCAGCAGAATTTAGCCTTCAAGTATCATTATCTTTTTACAGTAGTGTTGAATATCGAATGTTTTTCTGTTTGTTGTTTTGTTTTGTTTTTCTTTCTGTAATGGTAGTCTTTGCTTTAATTTACAGTCAGAGAATGAGAGAAACTACCATATATTTTATCAGTTGTGTGCATCTGCTATGCAACCTGAATTTAACCATCTTAAATTGGGTAGGTCTCAAGAAAATAACTACTCTTCATTTTTGCAGCGCAGTATTTTGAAGATTGGATTTTCAAACGCTAGGATGTTAAGTGCTTTGTAACATAAATCTCACAGACTTACAATTGGACTTGCATTTTTAAGTCACTTAGATATTAATCCTGCTTGTGTTGAACTTGGTAGCAAATCCCTAGTAACTTGAATAGTGCCTGATCAAGTACCTAAGGATCTTTGAAAATCTTATTCTAATACTTTCTGTAGTGACAGATGCCATAATGACAGTTTAGGGGCTTGATTCATTTATCTACAGAGAAGCTTTAATGCCACCTGGGAGAAGCAGACCTTAGGTATACGTTTACTCAGTCTTCATTCCTGTTTGCTTGTTAGATCAAATATTAAGATTGCTAGGAATTATGAATACTGATTTGTGTCAGCTTAACTGAGTTAGGCACATGGATTTCCTCTCAGAAAAAGAGGGCCTCCAGCTCATTGCTGAAGAGCTGTCATCGGACAGCATCTTTAATTTTCTGGTGTTACAAGAGTCTTTAACAAGTGGCTATCCCCAGTCCCGAATTTTCAAGCATTACAAGTTTTGCTTCTTATCTATAGGAAGTGCAGAAGAATTTAACTACACAAGAATGGGTGGCAGCACAGAAATAGAAGGAGTTGATGACAGAGCAAATATGGTGGAGACTCAGAAGACATTTGCCTTACTGGGTAAATTCTTGGGGATACCTTTTCAATAGATACAAAACCTGGCTTTTTTCTGAAGTGGGCAAAGGTGTATTGTTTCTGAAATGTCCAAAATGTTAGTAGTAATTACCAAAACAATTTATTTCATAGCTTATCCATTGCACTGTTGGTCTGTTTTAAAAGTACTAGGCAAGAGCAAATGGCTGTTAGCAATCGGTGTTCATTGTTAATGGTGAAAATCACTAAGGACTGGAGTCTTCCTGGCCCTTAAGCTAACATGCTGTGACAGAAGTGGAATTGGAAGCTTCTTTGCCTGTATATGGCTTATGTGAAAGCCAAATCAGACTTGAGCTGGCACTTGGGGAGGTACAGGAATTTATGCCTAATCTCTCCTCGGATCAGACAGGCAGAAAGTAGGCAGAACCAAGGCTTTGCATAGTAGTCTGCAGAGATGCTATACAATTCCTGGCTACACAGCAAAGAAAGTAATCCAGCATTGTGCTATTTTAATTAATTGTACTGTTTCTGAGTATTTAAAATAATGAAGAATTGGGGTTTTTTTTTAGGTCTGAAGGGGGATTTTCAGCTGGATGTTTTTAAAATACTGGCAGCAATCCTACACTTAGGCAACGTGGAAATAACAGCTATTGGAGATGAAAGATCATCCATCAGTGTAAGGAAGTAGCTCATTCAGATACCAACATTTTCTTTTATATTCTATGCCAAAAATCCTTTCGCAATAGTTTTTCTCGTATCTGGGGCTCAAAGCAGCATTAAATCTGGTATACTAAACTTGAGAGATTTCTCCATCTTCATCTGTATAGAATCTGTATAGAATCACAGCAAGTGTTTATGCAAATCCTGATTTGTGGCCATGTTCAGAAAGTCTGAACAAAAGGCAGAATGTGGCTAAGAGAACCCCATATCCAATTGATCCCCAGCTGTTGGAAAAGACATTTGGGACTATCTGCAGGGTACAGGAAACAGCATTGTCAAAGCTGCTCAGACTTGCACAGTGTGCTGGGACACATTCTAAAAAGCAAGGACGCCTGAACATAGACTAAAGTAACTTTTTCTTTCAGTGTCTTAATCCAAAGCATCTCATCCAGTCTAAGTTTTTCTCTCCTATATCAGGAGCTCTATCCAGTATTATTTGCCTTAGCTCTTCTTAATATTTTTCCAGACGAAGAAGTGAACAGGGCCCCTTGTCTAATGTAAAAATAAGTCATAGTTTGATGTCAGTGGTGCCAGGATTTCACTGTCTAGACAACAGTTAAAGTTCTGAGGGGATCAAGTGCTCCCTCAGCAAGT